CAGAATCACAGAATGGCCAGGGTTGGAAGGGACCTCAAGGATCATGAATCTCCAACCCCCTGCCACACGCAGGGCCACCAACCTCCACATTCAATACCAGCCCAGGCTGCCCAGGGCCCCATCCAACCTGGCCTTGAACACCTCCAGGGATGGACGGGGCATCCACAGCCTCTCTGGGCAGCTGTTCCAGCACCTCACCACTCTCTCTGGAAAGAACTTCCCCTGACATCCAACCTAAATCTCCCCTCCCTCAACTTAAAACCATTTCCCCTCGTCCTGTTGTTATCTACCCTTTCAAAGAGTTGATTCCCCTCCTGTTTGTAGGCTCCCTTTAGGTATTGAAAGGCTGCAATGAGGTCACCCCGCAGCCTTCTTTTCTCCAGGCTGAACAAGCCCAGCTCCCTCAGCCTGTCCTCATAGTGGAGGTGCTCCAGCTCCCTGATCATCTTCGTGGCCCTCCTCTGGACCCTCTCCAACAGCTCCCTGTCTTTCTTGTACCGGGGGCTCCACACTTGGACGCAGTGCTCCAGATGGGGCCTCACAAGAGCAGAGTAGAGGGGAGCAATCACCTCCCTGTCCCTGCTGGCCACCCCTTTTCTGATGGAGCCCAACTTACAGAATTGAGTTGCAAGGAATACTTCCAACTTGTTTTTTAGTATCTCCCATGGTGAGGACAGCACACTGTGCCAGACGGGCTCTTCCATGGGTTCCTCACAGAGGCATTATGTATAACTTGGATGTTGCACTGTGCACTGTCACAGGTAGCAGCAGTTCTTGAAGCGATCTGGACCTCAGTGATGGCAGTGTCCTGCACAGTAGGTGGCTGGAGGGATGATGTCACCCTGGGACACTGCCTGGCTGGAATGATGGGCATAAAACCAACACCACTAAGCATAACATGATCAATTTCTCAAAGTGTTGATTGACTGAAGGCCAGCTTTCTTCAAAATTAAGTAGGTCAATTTTGTAATTAAAATACAGCAAGATTAATAAAGATTTGGGGGGGTAAATTCAATAGGACTGCTTATTAATTAGTGCAGTGTCTCTTTATGTACGTTGTATCAGTTTCAAAAATCCGTCTGAGCTACCCTCATAGGTTTCCTAAATCACAGAATCAGAGGATTGTTTTGAGTTGGAAGGGACCTTTAAAGGTTACCTCACCTGACTCCAGTGAATGGGACATGAGAGAGCAGTGTGGTGGTGCTCAGCCACCTATCAGTGTTAAACCACCACACCAGGAGATGCTCCTGGCCAATGCTGGAAATGAGTCCTTTTCAGCCAAGAGTTAATGTCATACCTAGTTTCTAACTAGGACATCTTTGATTTTATTCCTAGCTATTTAATATTACGCAACCTCCCTCCATAGACCAAAGGGGCCTTTAACCTTCAGCACGTTTTCCCAGCTCTGTGTATGCAGTATATGATAACCTTTAGGTTTCTTTTTTAAGAGCTCAAACTCTTTCTGTCTCCCTGTGAGACGTTTCCCATTCCACAGATCACTGTGTTCTCTGTGCTCCCTGAACGTTTGTGTTCTTTTCAGGTGAGGCTCCAGGTCAGTTTCTACATCTCCCATGCCTGCTTTTCCCATCTACAGACAGAACCATCTTCACAGTTTACATAACCACAGAGGATGATGCGTGTCCCTGCTGCCCTTGAATCCCTTTCAGCCATTGCTTTGCAGGATGCAGGTTTAGTACAGCCTGCTTTAAACACGTCAGCTATGCCTACACTAAGAAATCAGAGAAGGCCAGGGACCATTTGCAGGCACTGAAGTCTGATCATTCTGGCTGTTTAATTGGGGTTCAGCCCCATTGGTGCTTTCCCAGATTATCTCCAAGCACTCTTCAAGACATCAGCAGACTGCAGTCTGAGTACACACATCCTATTCTGGACAGTTTAGTAGCTGTGGTAGGGACAACTGTTCAGCTGACCTCAGGGCCTGGAAGTAGTACTGGGCACGAATGTATGAGCACCATTTTGTCCAAGGGATCCAACCTGTGAGAGCCTTGGAGAGCATCCCTGTGCCCCACCAGTGGTCCCAATGGTAAATTGTAGTTACAGTGAACTGGTCATGTTTGGATTCAACTGCCTTTAATAGGAGGGCAGCTCTGCAGAGACTTGCAAAGGAATTTTAGGTGGGGATACTGCTGCTTAAGGAAGCAGGCTCCTCTGTCATCAAGAATGCCACAGAGCAACACAGCCACAGTGAGAATTTGGGCATCAGCAAGCCGGAAATCATGATAGATAGCTCCAGTCCACTGTTGTACTTCAAGCACAAGGTCCCAGTCTATCTGAAGGTACTGCACTCCATCCCTGGCCTCCTCAAGACAGATCTTCATGATCTCCTGAACAAAAGTGTATATTTTTCTTCAGATCAATTGCCTGAATCTGGACTTGGAATCATAGAATCCTTACAGTTGCAAAAGACCTTGAAAGGACATCTAGTACAACTCCCCTGCAATGAGCAGGGACACCTACAGCTCCCATCAGGGTGCTCAGAGCCTGATCCAGGCTTGCCTTGAAAGCTTCCAGGCATGGGGCATCCTCCACATCTCTTTATTTTTTTCTTTTCCTTTTTGCTTTGCCATTGTGTTCTGAGCTTAAAGATTGCAATGGAGAGGTTGTTATTCATTCTCTGTTGCAATTAAGCTTTCAATGAAAGTAATACATTGAATTGAATACATCGAATTTTGGCACACATGCAATTGAATATTTAAGTTGTTCTGGAAAAAAAGCATATTTTAAAAGGGGCTTGATAGCCATTAAAAGTGTTCAGTCATCTCTGTCTTTGTAGTCTTTCAGTACTTAGAAGCGCAGTAGAATAACCCCCTCTTGTTTTATAATAATACTTTTAAAATAACACTTTCCTGTCAAATTGCTTTTCATTTTATCAGGCTCTTGGCTTCAATTCCTTCATGTGGTGTAAATGCATCTAAAGAGGGGCTGTAAAAAAGAAGGAAACAGGTTCTTTGGCTGGGTCTATTGTAACAGGACATGGGGAAATCATTTCAAACTAAAAGAGGGGAGATTTAGCCTGCATATAAAGAAGTTTTTTACAATATCATCATATCATAGAGTCATAGAATGGCTGGGGTTGAAAAGGACCACAATGCTCATCTAGTTTCAACCCCCTGCTATGTGCAGGTCACCAACCAGCAGACCAGGCTGCCCAGAGCCACATCCAGCCTGGCCTTGAATGCCTGCAGGGATGGGGCATCCACAGCCTCCTTGGCCAACCTGTTCCAGTGCCTCACCACCCTCTGGGTGAAAAACTTCCTCCTAATATCCAACCTAAACCTCCCCTGTGGTAGTGAAGCGTTGGTACAGGTAGCCCAGAGAGGTGGTGGATGTCCCTGCAGACAGCCAAGGTCAGGCTGGATGGGCTCTGAGCACTGATGGAGCTGTGGGTGTCCCTGTTCATTGCAGGGAATGGGATCAGGCGGCCTTTAAAGGGTCTCTTCCAACTCAAACCATTCTGTGTTTCTATGAAATGATCTGGGGAAGGGATGAGTGGTAACATTATTCATCAGGGATTGTCATAACACTGGATCAATAAACAGAGCATCCACGTCTCAAACACCTTCTGCTGTCCAGTTGTCCCATCTTTAAAAAATGATCGGCTAGGAAATACGGTAAGGAGCTACAGTGACACAACTGGTGCAGTGTGCACGCATAGAGAATAATGATTAACTCTCTCTTACAATAGAAACTGGGAAGCACCAAAAGAAGTAATTGGGCAGCTGGTCTAAACCCAACAGAATAAATTGCTTTTCACATTGCACATAATTACATAGCAAAATTCTTGGCTTCACCGTACGCTATGATAATAAAAAGTATTGATGTCTGTTCTTGGGCAGCACTGAACATCCCCCAAGCCAATTATGGTAAAAAATTACCATCTCCAAATGAACAAAAAAAGGAAGATCAGGAGTTATTAGTGACTAGCAGAAGGACTTCACGTTTCATAAAGATTATAATCTCAAAGAGTTGCTATCTACCACCTGGTGATGGAGCTGAGCCACACATTTGAATCATAGACTCGTTCAGGTTGGAAAAAAACTCTGAGATCCCCAAGTTCAGCCCCAACTGACCCCACCAAGCCCACTGAGCACAGTGCTGCATCCCCATAGTTTTGGAACACCTCCAGAGATGGTGACCCCACCACTCCCTGGGCAGCTGTGCCACTGCATCACTGCTCTTTTGGAGGTGTTATTGGGCCCAGCTGGGCATACAGTGCCTCTCCTGCCAGGCAGGGAGAGGAACCCAGCTGGCCCAGGCTGCAGCACTGTGAGGATAACATCACTCCAATTTGGAAGAAAGAGACAAAGGGACAGCCATGGAACTCCAGGCCGGTGAGCCTCACCTCTGTGCTGGGATATGATGGAGTGACAGCGTTGATGGACAGAGGAGGGCAACTGATGACCTCTACCTGGCTTTGTGCACAGCCTCGGATGTTGGCCTGTGGATTTTGGCTGCCCAGAGAGGCTGCGGATGCCCCATCCCTGGAGGTGTTCAAGGCAAGGTTGGATGAGGCCCTGAACAGCCTGGGCTGGTATGAAATGTGGAGGTTGGTGGCCCTGCATGTGGCAGGGGGTTGGAGCTTCACGATCCTTGAGGTCCCTTCCAACCCAAACCATTCTGTGATTCTGTGGTCCTGCACCACATCCTTATCTCTGCATAGAAGAGATGTGGATCTGAAGGCTGTAGATAAGGGGTTGGTTGGAAGATCGCAGCGGGAAGCTCTGTGTCCATCCAGGTGGACGAGCGGCGTCCCCCTATGGGCATTGGGACGGGACAGGCTCGGGCAGCGAGCCCAAGGGATGCTAACGAGGTTGAGCGAGGCCAGAGAAGCAAAGCGCCGCATTCGGGTCGGGGCAACCAGAAACACGAAGATTTGAGAACCGGGGAACGGCGGCGGAGGGCGCTGCGGTGCCGCTCGGGGCTGCGGGGCGGAGCCGGGCCGGGAAGGGAGGGAGGGAAGGAGGGAAGAAGGGAGGACCGTCCCGCCCCGACACCCCCGCGCTGCGGTCGGGGCTCGGCCCCGCTCCGTCCCCCGGCGCAGGGAGCGGGCCGGTGCCAGGGCTGCCGCCCGGGGCAGGGCTGCGGTCCGGGGCCGGCCCCGCCGCCATGGCCCGCTTCTCGGCGTACCTTAACCCCGTGCTGGTGCTCTTCAGCTGCGATCTGTGCCTGGTGCGAGCCAGTAAGTGCCGCCGGGGGACGGGATGGGGATGGGGATGGGGATGGGGATGGGGATGGGGATGGGGATGGGATGGGATGGCGATGCGGATGGGATGGGGATAGGACGGGTGTGGCAGGCAGCGGTGCCCCAGGGCTGTCCCGTGAGCTGTTCCCCGTGAGCTGCCGTGCCTGCATCCTTCCGGGCGTTGCTGCCCGGCTGTCCCCGCGCTGCTGTCGGTTCAGACTGAGGTGATGCTCTTTAAGCCGGCCGCTGCTCTCCTTCCTTCCCCGACTCAGCTCCATGGCAATGCCTGCCGCTGTCTGTTGGCCCCTTCTGCATTGCTACGTCCTGGCAAGCCGTCACGACGGAGTGGGCTGCTTCATTCTGAGCTCGGCCTGGTGTCCGTCCCCTGTTGTCCCCTGGCAGCCTCGTTGCACAGCGGGAACTCCGGGGCCCGCGGCGTTTGGGACGAAATGCGGTTAAAAAGTGACCCCTCGTCTTCAGGTGTGTGGAGCGAGGCTGGCTGCCCTGCCGCAGGGATGGATGGCTTGGACCAACATCTGTGCCCTTGAGCAGCAATGCCAAGGGCACAGATCCTCCTCCAGAGGCACAGCAGGACAGGGAGAGAGTGCGTGGGGCTGTGCCCCATCCCTGTGCTCAGCCACGTCCACCAGTGCTGCTATTGAGGTGCATCCAACACCTCCGTGGTAACAGGAAAGGGTGTTCCAGGCCATCAGCCTGTTTATGTGATGCTGTCCCATTCTTTAATAGGGTTTTAATCAGAAGTGAAGCTGAATAGCTTATAAATGATGCAACATCATTAGCGCTGGATGCAGTGCGTGGGGCTGAGCTCTGGGAAAAGCATGCCATAGAGCCCAGCAGTCTTGGAGGAGCTTGGCGTTAGAGATGTTTTCAAGAGTCATATCAGAGTGCAGAGGTTTTGCAGCCCTGAAAAGCCCACTCAGATCTTTATAGAAATAATAGAATGGCCTGGGTTGAAAAGTACCACAATGATCATCTAGTTCCAACCCCCTGCTATGTGCAGGGTTGCCAACCAGCAGACCAGGCTGCCCAGAGCCACATCCAGCCTGGCCTTGAATGCTTCCAGGGATGGGGCATCCACAACCTCCTTGGGCAACCTGTTCCAGTGCATCACCACCTTCTGTGTGAAAAACTTCCTCCTAAGATCTAAATGACAGGAGAACATGGGTTTAATGTGGGGATCTTCCTGTTGTGAGAGCTCTCCTTTGGAGGTCTTGTCCCAGTGACATTCATCTTGTGTATCCTTGGGGTTTAACATCGTCCCCGTGTTTCCAGAGTGAACTTGTAGAGTCACGGAATCATTCAGGTTGGAAAAGACCTCTCACATCCCGAAGACCAACCCCAGCCCACCCCACCATGCCCACCTCAGTGCCACATCCCCATGGTTCTGGAACACTTCCAGGGACAGTGACCCCACCACCCCCCTGGGCAGAGGCCATTACCTCTCATCCTGTTATTTGGTTTGAATAGCTGACTCTTTCTGTCCTCACTCTTCCTGCTAGGTGTACAAATCTCACATGCTCATCATATGTTCTCTACAGCAAACCAACCAAGTGACGTGTCCCAGTCCACGTGGACCCAGGATCATTGCAGTGACCTTGCTCTCAAACTGTAGTGACTCAGTCCCACGTCTCAGCATCCCCAGCATGAAGCTGGGCTGGGCCATGCTGTCTTTCTGCAGAACCTAGAAAATTCTGCAGGCTCTATACATAGACTCTTGCATTGCTGAGATGGCAGACCTTTAATTTCTCTGCAAATACGTCGGGTATGTTCAGACCTTCCCTCATTCTGTTAGATGTAAAAGTCCACTTAATTTATTATTGTGGTGAAGCATCAGGTCTTGTTCTCGGCCTGAGGCCAAATGGCAGCAGGATATGGCCACATCCTTAGCACTAAGCTCACATGTTCCAAGGAGAGTAGAGCACATCAGGGCTGCTGGGAATGGCCCATGGCTTGTGCTGAATCCTGAACTGTGTCCCTGAAAGGTTTGGGCATGTGCTGTCCAGTTCAGACCTCAGTAGTTCCAGGGGCTGAAATGACAAAACAGCAGTGGTGCAGCCCGTGGGTCAATCCTAAGGATGGCAGTGGCTCAGTATTGCTGTCAGCTTTTCAGCTGATGGCATTGCACTGTCAAAATCAGCTCTGCCCTCTGCACTGGGGTTTTCCTCCCCAGTTTGGGGCAGGGAGCAGCGCCAGGCAGATGAGGTACCCAGGCTGAGCTCCGTAGTGTGTTTATTACAAGCTGCCCCATTTTTCTGTCACAGTTGATATAAATACTGTGTCTGTGCCGCTTCCTACGCAGCCCTGGGTGGTGTGCCAGGCATTCATGATGTGCACATGCACAGGGCAGCCCCAGAGATTGGAGGATCCTCGTTTCACTGTCACAGTTGTGGTTGAAGTGCTGCATTAATGTAGGGCTTGTTTGGACTCAGAACCCCACAGAAGCGTGGGACTTTACTATTGAGAAGCTGCTGTGTCTGGGCTGAGCAGCAGCATGCCATGCCAGGCAGCGCTGCTGTGACTCTGCAGGATACTTTCCAATAGATGAAAATCTGAGCTGCAGTGGGCGAATGCTGGAGAAAACCCCTGTGGTTGGAGGGAAAGGGAGAGACAAGTGCCTTTTCTGACGGATCTTTTGCCTCTCTCCCATGCCTCCCATCGATCCACCCCTGCTCACCCAGACAGGCCGCCGTCCCCCGTCAACGTGACTGTGACACAGCTGAAGGCAAACTCTGCCACCGTCTCTTGGGATGTGCCAGAAGGAGACGTGGTCATCGGCTATGCCATCCTACAGCAGGTACCCAGGCTGTGTCCCCAGGGGTCCCCCTGGCCGCACAGAGATGCTGCGGAGAGAGGTGCCAGCCCACCCCAGGGGTAGAGGATTGCCTGGGAAGGGAGGAGTGAGGGCACTGCACTCAGCAGAGCCCTGCAGGCAGGGTGCAGCTGGGATCAACTCCCTGGGGATGACAGCTCTTCACTCTGGCAGCGGCAGGACGGTCAGATGCAGCGCTTCATCCGGGAGGTGAACACCACCAACCGGGCCTGCGTGCTGTGGGACCTGGCAGAAGATGCTGATTACATCATCCAGGTGCAGAGCATCGGCCTCTATGGGGAAAGTCAGGCCAGCAAACGTGTCCACTTCCGGACTCTGAAGGAGACCGACCGCCTCCCCTCCAACAGCTCCAACCAAGGTGAGACATTGCCCAAGTGCTACTCGTGGGGCCGTCGTCTCCTTTCCACTTCTCAGCCACGTTGTGCCTGTTGCCTGGGGGTTGCCTAAACACTGGCCGTGAATCCAAGAGAGATGATGTGCAGCGTGGGTCTTTATGGAAAGCCGTAGGCTGCGTGCCTCCTTCCCAGTCAACATTTGTTTGTCAGGGGGAAGTGGCTTCTCTCTGTAGCTCCTCAGATCCTTGAATGATGCTGGTCATGAGGTGGGTTCTGCTGGGAGGGTGACTGCTGCCAGCCCTGCCTGGCTGCTCTTCTCCACAGGTGACATCACCATGGAAGGGCTGGACAAAGACAGGCAACTGCAGACAGGAGAGATCATCATCATCGTGGCCGTGCTGCTCATGTGGGCAGGTGAGTGCCACTAACAGCATTCCAGCAGGCTGGGACAGAGGCACAGTCTTGGGTCCAGAGAGAGGATGGGGCTCAGAGAATGCAGAGGAATGCTGGCACGGTCCAGGCATCCTCCTTCCTTGCAAGTCCATTGGGACTGGTTCTTCTAGATGCTTCTGGCTCCTTTTTCATAGAATCGTTAAGGCTGGAAAAGACCTCTAAGGTCATCAAGTCCAACCATCACCCCAACCCCTGGGCCTGGCTGCTCTCCCGCTGTGACAATGGGGAGGGGAGCAGGGGGCAGCCCTGAGGGAGTCCTTCATCCCTCCTCTTTCTGCAGCGGTGATCGCCCTCTTCTGCAGACAGTATGACATCATCAAGGACAACGACTCCAACAACAACAAGGAGAAGACAAAGCCATCCTCGGAGCACAGCACTCCAGAGCGACCCTCTGGAGGACTGCTACGGAGCAAGGTGAGGGGGAGGGCTGACAGAAGGGCTGGCATGTAACATCTGCTGTGCCTTAGTGGCTGGACAGGTTCTTGATCTCTCCAGAAATAGAAAACACCCCAGTTTGTGTCCTCACCCCAAAAGCTGAGGACTAGCAGTGAGCTCTGGGGCAATCTGTGCCCCACGTATGAGTGCAGGAGAAACACCCATAGTGATGGCAGGACACCTCTGCTGGGATGGCTCTCATGTTGCAGGATGGCAGCTGTCCTCTCCCTGCAACAGCCAGTGCTTGCCCCATTACCATGCCCCATCACCACCCCACATAGAGGCTACACCTCTTCTGCATTTCAGAGAGGTCAGCACCTGACTTGTTCTTTGTTACTCAACAGAGGCTGATTTATAATTCTGATGGCACATGCTCTAATGGGATGTTGCAGTAGTTTTTTCCCTTGGGTCTATCTGCCATCTCTATTCACAGTGCAAACTCCATTCACGTGTTGCCCACTGGCCTGTTTCTGTCTCCTGTCTTCCAGGACTTTGAGGGCCAAGTTTTCTTTCCTCCTCCAACATCCCAAGGTCTCCATAAAGCATGGCCTCAAAGTGTTGTTGTTTTTTTTTTTCCTCCCATAGAAGAAGTCTCCCTCTGTCAATATAATCGAGGTGTAAGTGCAGCACCAGCTCTGCATCTGGGCTCCTGGGCATCATGTCAGAGCTAAAACAGGCCTTGGAAGAGGAGGCAGCACCAGGCAGCCAGCCTGGAACTCTGCATGCAAAGATCCACGTATCCGAACTTACGCTTTCCCAAGGGCACCTGTCTGGGGATGTGCATGGAGTTGGCTCCCGGCCGTGCATGTATGCCTGGCCCCGCTTCCCTGCCGCTAAGGAGTGTGGAGCTGAGCGATGGAGTGGGGGTATCCCACCAGCCTGTGGGGGAGCAGAGGGGCTGCTGCCCTGTCCTGCACACAGCCCCGGTGGGAGACAGCATCCCAGAGCCCAGGCTTGGCCAGTGGCTGTGGTGCAGCTGTGTGGCACCAGACTCCTGCCGAAGAGATGTTCTGGGGCAGACCTGGCTCTCTCTGCTGTGCTGGGGGGAAGGATCTGCACCTTTCTGGCTCCAAGGCTGAGGGGAGAGTGCAGTGCAGGTGCTGGCCCCAGAGCTGTCGGTGAGGTCATGGCAAGGAGGCAGGGGGGCTGGGCTGTGAGAGCGAGTCCCTGCTGGAGGATGGAGCCCACTGCACCCCATCATTGCAGTGAGGGGTTTCCCATGCCTTGCTCTGCCAAAGGGGACAAAAACACAAATGAGAGCTTGAGGAGTTAGTGCTGCTGCAGTGCCTGGCTGGGCTGCAGCAGGGCAGGGAGCGTCAGTCCCGTGGGTGAGGTAAGGCTCACAGAGCTATGGGAATGGGTCTGGCCAGCACACTGCTGTGGCTCTACCACTTCTCCGTCAGGGCTCACTGTGAGTGTGCACTGCATGCATAATGCAGCCAGCCTGGCTGGATTGGTGGGATGCGTGTTGTGTGCGAGGCTGAGGTCTGGCCCAGCGATGTTCTCTTGCCAGAGGCAGGGGATGCAGGGTGACACAAGGAGCCCTGCTGCCACAGAGGCCGTGCCTGGTGCCCTGGCTGCTGCTCTTCCCTCCGTGCTCTGCTCTGTGGCTGGTCACCGAGCCAGGCGCTGGCTCTGCAGCCCTGGACTCAAGCATCACAGGATCCAGCGTCTTCCAGGAATAAACCTCCCAGCAAAGCACTTTCAGGACTCTCACTTCCAGGTGCTGTTCAGCTCCTGCTGCAGGACTGGATTGGGAAGGGACAGGGTAAGCAACTCCCTGTGGCGGGGTCTTTTCAATAAAAGCATCCTGGCTCAAAAGCAGCGTTGTCCCTGCAGTATTGCAGGTGTGGGGGGGAAGAGGGAAGCACATATGTTCAATCGCTTCTTGCACTCCTGTGTATGGCTCTGTTCTTGATAGCACATGCTCTGCAGCAGGTCCTCTAAGGCTATCCTGCACTTCTTTCTGGCCTTTGAGAGAGTACCAGTGCTGCAGGCTGGCCTGTCATGCTGTAGGACGTGCAGCTGCTGAAGAAAGATGATGCCAGGGCTCAACAGGCTGCTGGCAGGAGGCTGTGCTTCTCCCCATCAGGTGAAGAGAGCAGAATACAAAAGCTATGGCCAAATAAAAAAGGAACACAATGTCTCTCATGTTATACGTAGCAGGCACAGCAACTGTTTTAGGCTGACACAAGGAGCTGGAAGATGCTCACTGCAGCAGCTGGTAAAACCCAGGATTAACTGCAGACCTGACACCCACCAAATCCTGCAAGAAGTCACATAGGGCTGCAGTGCCATCAGAGGCACACTGCAGCAACCTCATGTCTCAGGGAGACAGAGGCATTTACATTGCCTGGAGTCTGACAGCTCCCAGGCAACAGGTACAGCCCACTGCCTTCCCCAGTGGCAGGAGATGGTGAAGCAGAATAATTCACAGCAAGAATAGCAATCGGCTGCAAACCTGGCTGGAGAAACCAGGCAGCCTGCTGGCCATGCCTCCACACCACAGACCAAGTGCAGCAGGACAGCAGCTGCAGAGCAGGCACAAGGTTGAAATGGGTAGAGAGCTGCTGCCACATGGGACGTTATGCAATCTCTGGCCTCTGCAGGGTCCACTGTCAGCTCCTGCTGTGCAAACAGTTGCTGGTGCACACAGAGCCCCCAAGGGACACAGCACCAGCCATGACTTCCTGCAGGTAGCACAGTGGACACAGCACTTCACATGCTTGCACAAGGCCCCCCACTGAGCACTCAAAATGGACAACTATTAAAAAAAAAAAAAACAACCCTCAGTTTATTTCCCTAGAAATGCAGAGCTTTCCTTTCAAAAACAGCTCGCTTCACTCGTGGGAGGGTGCAGGGCTGAATTGCAGGGAAAAGGCCCTTCCAGGCCAAGAGCTATGGCTTCCCAAGGGTCATATGCACCTTCAATTTGCTGAGCAAGCTCTGTGCCCAGCAAGCTGCTCGGCCTCAGCTGCTCCCTGTTGCCACTACAAGGAGCAAAGTCAGATCAGCACAGCCCTAGGTGCACCACCTACATCCTGCAGGCTCAGAGCACATGGGGTGGCTATACCTGCACCAAAAGCAGGCAGAGCAATGAACACCAGTCCATCAGGCTTAAAGGGGAGCAGGGAGCAACTGCAGTTTGAGGCAGTTCATGCAGGTGGGCAGCAGGACAAGGAGTGGGCATTACAGTCCACATGCTGCACAGCAGCGGTGCCAACAGCCCCTGTGCCTGGTGGCAGGGCAGGTGCTGACCAGCCTGGGTGCAGGCACAGGGTGAATCCTGAGTGGCTGTTCCATTGCTGCAGAGATGTGGCTTAGCTCAGGAGATTCTTGGGGCGATCAGTCTCAGGGCCAGCTGTGGGGGGGTCTCCTGTTCCTCCTGGCTCCTTCCGGCTGCCTGGGGGCTGCTCCAGGCAGGGCCAGCTCAGTGGCAGCTGTGTAGTAGATGAGCTCGTTCTGGGCACAGCAGGTGCCAACTCTGAAAAGCAAGAGGGAGGGAGATCTGGTCCATAACATTTGTGGTTGGGAACCCAACATGGACAGGAAGGGAAAGCAGACATTCCCAAGAGAGCCATCAACCTCCTCCCACTGCCAAGGCCACGCTGGCAGAGGTAGAAAAGCAATATGCAGGGGGAGAGCTTACCTGTCGGTCCATGGGCTCCCCTCCCCAGCTCCTCCATGCAGCTTTGGAAGAGAACAGAGCACCCATCATCTCCAAGCAAGCACCTGCTGAGAGACCCATGCTCATGACCCTGGCAATGCAGACCCAGCAGTACTAGGCACTCAGACTGCAGAAGGCCCTAACCTACTCACTACCAAACCCCTTCCCCAGGCCATCCTGCCCTGATGCTGCAAAGCCACATCTCCTCCCATCAAGAATCCCCCAGAACAAGTGGCCACATCAAAAGGATGCATACACACCTTCACACTTAGCACATGCTGATCCCCAGATGACACCTACTTAGAGCAGTCTCAGCCTGCTAACGTTGCTGGACCCATCAGGCACTGGCTTGAGTGCCTTAACAGGTGCATGAAAACAGCCATAATGGAACAGGCTCAGCAAACCCATCACCACACGCACTTCTGCAAAGAAGTTAATCCTCCACTTCTGACCTCCTCCCAAGCTCAGTCCCAGCTCCTGTCAGCTGATTGGGCATCCAACCTGACCTATGCCCACAGAAATCTGGGGAAGGAGAGGGCCAGCTCTGGGTTCAACATGAGAAGCACATCTGGATGGGTTGTCCTCAGCAAAGAGTGGCAGAAATATACCCAGAGATGTCTCTTGTACTGTCCTGAGGATAAAGTATCAACCCCCCACTGTAGGAGTTGATCTGCAAAATCTGTCTCTCCACACCTTAGCTCCCTGTACATCCAACCTCAGCTGACAGAGAAAACAGCAGAAGTTCCCCCACAGATTTCATCTGAGCTCCCACAAAACTCATGGCTTCAGCAGTACCCCTTGCTTGGGACATGGAGAAGGAAACAAGACAGGGCTCACGAGAGTGCTCCTTACACACAGGCACCAGCTCACCACTTACCCAGATAAAGTTTCATCGAGGTTTTCATCTTCCTCCTCCTCTTCCTCCTCCTTGCAAGCAAGCAAGCAAACAAACAGAAAAGTAGGTCTCTACCAGGATCCAGACTGGGATGCCCAGAGCCTCCTCTGGGGCAGCAGGGCTGTCCCCAGCACCTTCACAAGACAGTCACCCACCAGGTATGACAAGGACAAGACTCGTCTACAAGCAGGAAGGGGAAAAATGGCACCTGCAGTACTGGGCTGATGAAATCCTTGGAGCTCAGACACAGCCACACAAGGGAAGAGACAGACCAAGGTTCTCCTCACATTCCCCAAGCCAGCAGAGCACCAAACACAGGGCGTGAACTGGGGATGAGCCACCAAGCTGAGATGGCTGCTGCACACAGCACACCTTTGCCTAGAGACTGGAGCAGGGTGAGCATGTCCCAGCTGGAGGACCAGGCAGAGAACCACCTGGAGCACGCTGCAAGCAATGATGGCCCCAACCACTGCCAGACTGGGTCAATGCTGGAAGCACGAAGTCAAGAAGCAAGCATTCAGAGGCTCCTGGGCAGGGACACAATGACAACAGAGACTTGCAACACTAGAAATGCTGAGACTGGCTCTGGACATTCAGTGGGTGCTGTGCAGATGGGCAGGGCTGAGCCTTATCCCAGGCTGGCAAGATGACGACCAGACAAAGGTTCCTCTCCTTGAGAGAGGCTGTCTCATCCCAAACCATGGCACCAAGTATGCAGAGCACGTCCCAGCTCCCTGTGCAACAGGGCTGGCTGCTGCAACACTGGGCCTGACAGGAGAGCTCCTGGAGCAAAGACCACCTGAGGCTTCTGCCTTGTGAGCCAGACATAGCACAGAGTGCTCCTTGTCACATCAGGCTCGCACGTACAAGGGGAGCTGTGCAGACACCAACAGGAGCCTGAGAGTCCAAGAGGAGGGAGCTGCGTAAGGGTTACTCTTCTCCTGCCCTAATGGGTGACAGACCTGGGCATGGGCCAGACTTGCACATACTGTACCCCAAACTGGTGTCTGAAGGGAGGGCTCCCCGGGGGAGCTGGCTCACTTGCTCTGCTGGGCTCACTGCGCTCCAAGACACATGGAGGGTGAAGGGGCTGTTCCTGCCTAGAGCCTGGGACAGGGCAAAAGCAGCAGAGTTAGCACCTGGAACTTGAACAAGGCTCAGCAGGGGGTGTACAGGCAGGACTGTGGGCAAGAGACAGATGCCCCCGCTGTGCTTGGGAGACAGTGCAAACAAACATGGGAGCAGGGTGAGGGGGACACTGCTCAGGGCAGATCCTGCAGGGTCCCGAGCTGTGCAATAGCTCAGCAGTGCAGAGGAGTTTAGCATGGATAGCAGGGACACCCCCAGCCAGAGACAGGGCAGGCTCCCTGCATGGGGAAGCAGCAGAGAGCACAACAGCAAGGACAGTGCCCTAGTTGGTGCATTTCACCACCCAAGCAGCAAGCCATCTCTCCTCCATACAGCCCAAAACAGGATCTGGCAATGCAGACCCCAATCCCAGGACTAAGCAGAGGGAAATGTCAGAGAAATTCCTCCTACCTGCATTTGCTGCTTCCCAGAGATCCAGTGCCATTTGGAAGGCCTGAGCCACCGTCAGAGTCACAGCCTGGGCCTGTGTACAAGAAAGAGGGGAAAGTCTACTTCCATCTCCACCTCAAGCCATAGCAATAGCACTGCCCAAGAAGAGGGGTGCTCCAGGCCTTGTCACATCTTGTGCAGTGCTCATGTGGAAGGCCAAGGCTCAGTCCTCTGCCAGTCTGTTCATATGGGCCAGCCCTTCCCAAGAGGAGATCCCAGAGGAGCTGGGACAGAAGAACCTCCTGTTGTGTAGAGGTGGATGGTGAGCAATGTGAGGAAACATGCATTCCCTGGCTCTCTATACAGCTAGGGGCACAGAAGTAAGGGTCTGCTTTCCCTGAAGGGGAAGAAGAAAGGGCTTCATACCCACCCTTACCTCAAAGAGCCAAGAGCCAAAGAGAAGTGCTTACAATCTTCTTCTTGGGTGACAGGAAGGCATGGCACTCCAGCGCCCCGCTCTCCTGGCTCTGAGCAACATAAGCAAAGACTTTGTTCTGCAGCTTGTCTGTTGTGCAGTAGGAGATCCTATGGGCAGAGAGGAGCTGCTCAGAGCAACAGGGAAATCCAGCACAGGTCTGCTGTGCTCCTAGCACACCAACAAACAGGAGAGACAGCCTGAGACTTTCACCTCCCCTGGATAACCAGCAGCCCAGCTCTCCAGAAAGGACAAAAGGCTGCCCCACACCTAGAGCTAGTAAGAGATCCACAGGTTCCTGCATCCACAGGTATCCCCAACTTGTGTTGCTCAGTGTGCTCTTTGGTCTTCTGATGCCACGTTCAAGCCTAGATGTGAACTCAAGCACTGAACCAAAAGGTGCATAGAAAAGCAAGAGCACAGCTGGAGGCCAGGAAGTAGGATGCTTTGCTTTGGCGTATCAGCTCTTGTGCTGACTCCCAAGTTTTGCACCAAGGACACATCCTGACTCTGCTTCTCACCTAGCAATCAGCCTTCAGCCATGCTCCCCTCCCACAAACACACAGACAAAATACAACTGGCAGCAATAAGAAGAGAACAAACAAACAGGAAAACAACTCTTTAATCTGTCTTTAGTCAGCTCAAGTGAGCTGCAGGCCAAGGCACATTCAGGCCACTGCAGCCAGAAGGCAGAAGGGTGGTCCTCTGGTCCTTCATCAGCAAAAAAAAGTAGGCATGCAGCCTTGCCCTACTTGTGGGGGTCTTCTACACATCAGCCCCAACCTGACATCCTGCTGAACAAAGGATGCAGGAGAGACAAGCAGGGTCCACAGAAAAGGCCAGATACTGACGAAGAACACAAAGTTGCCCAGGTCTTTGCATGCACTCAGACCCAGGCAGTGCTGTGGGAGCCAGCACAAGGCCCAGCCCACCCTTGCTGCCCAACATCCCACCAGTCTCCCGCTGGTTGCTCAGGAACACTCGGAATCATAGAATCACCTAGGATCACCTCCCTTACCCAGGTCCTCCTGCATGCCATGCCCACCTGTAGATGGAGATGTTCTCAACCACCTCCTTTGTGTCGGCGTCCTGCAGTGAGATGCCCCTTGGAGACACTGTCAGAATCACCTTCTGGAACTTGCGAGCTCCCACCCGTGCCTGGCAGTGGAGAGACACCAGACATCTCTGAAGACCCAGTGAGGGCCCTCAACCTCACCCTGCTGCCAGCCACCCCCCAGATTCTGTACAGAACGTCACTCACTTGGACCCATCTGCAGAGGTTCCTGCCAAAGGGACAGGAAAGCAAGAGCCTGGGGATTAGGCACATTCAGTGTAGGACACCCCAGGAGTCCCTTCATGCTACTGCCATGCACATGGGAAAGGATGGACCCCACCTTCCCCAGTTCTTCCCCTCCTCTCTGTGAGGAGAGGGACAAAGTTCTACGTGCAGCTGTGTGGAAGCAAGCAATGGTGGCTGTCCTGCAGAAAAACAGCTTCCTCTTGAGGTAGAAATCAGCCTGTCACTTGCAAGCCACCCTCCCCTTGGGAACAGCACAGTCCCTAGATGGAGCTAAGGACTGTCACGTCGATGCTTCCCAAGTCTACTTGCTAGCTCCAAACTGGCTCTTCTCTACCCCAACACAGAGCTGGCTCTCACTGTGGCAACGATCCGGCGGATGGCAGCAGCTGCCATGTCTTCCCCTTTGGGTTTTTCTACCAGTGTCATGCCTAGGTACTTCAGAGTGAAGCACATCCCCTCCAGCAGTGGTTCCTGCATGTCAGCCCAGCTCTCGGGAAGCTCTGTGAAGACAAAAAGATTTAGCAGCAGAAGCCAAGTACCAGCTGCCCTGTGGCTAGTCCCAGCAGAGCCACCCCACCTCATTGTAGTCTCAGTGCTCCCAGCAGCAGTGCTGTTACCTGCACTCACCACAGCACTCTCCTGGTTCTGTGACAATCTTGGTAGAACACAATGAAAGGAGAGTTTACCCTCGAAGCCCTTAGCCCTGGAGGTAGAAGCTCTGCCAGCCAAGACAGTAAGCTCCTGCATATCTTCACAGGGCCTCAGATCTGCGCAGTGTTCAGTGCTATCCCATCAGAACCTAACATTTCCAGGTCTCAGCTCCTTCACTGCAAGTAGCATGTGCTATGTACTGCATTCACCTCATCCACTTCAAGTGCTGCCACACCACAAGAACAGCAGTATTTGCTGCCCCACTCAGATCAAAATCCCCAAGCTGTCTCAGTGCAAGCAAAGCCAAACTATTATCTGCTGTTATCTGCAGCAGCAGGCTACCAGGAAAGGGGCAAAATGGCCAGCACTCACAGCTGAAGCAGAGGTGACAGGGAAGCAATCATCCTATATAGGCTCTGTGTTACAGAACTGCTTAGATTGGCATTTAAAGAGTGCAAGCTAGCTTCCAGAAGAATGTGCTTTATGGATGAATTCCAATGAACAGAAGGAAGAGAACTCCATGTGCATTATTGGTCTATTAAAAAAATAAAGAACAAAGAGCATCTGTTCAAACACTACCCTCATTAGTGAGGAATTTCTTCCTAATGTCTGATCTAAATCTCCCTTTTTAGTTTAAAGCTGTTACCCCCTGTCACTGCACCCTCTGACAAAGGATCATAGAATTGTTTGAGCTTGAAGGGACCTTTTAAGGTCATCTAGCCCAACTCCCTGCAATGAACAGGGACACCCACAGCTCCACCAGGTGCTCAGAGCCCCATCCAACCTGACCTTGGGTGTCTGCAGGGACATCCACCACCTCTCTGGGCAACCTGTGCCAGTGCTTCACTAAAAGAGTCCCTCCTCAGCTGTCCCATAGGCCTCCAGGTACAGGAAGGCAACAAAGAGGTCTCCCAGAAGCCTTCTCTTCTCCAGGCTAAACACCCCAGCTCCCTCAGCCTGTTCTCACAGGGAGGTGTTCCAGCCCCCTGAACATCCACATGGTCTTCTCCAGACCCACCCCAACAGGTCCAAGTCTTACTTATGTTGGGGTTCTCAGCACTTCTGGTGGAGTCTCAAGAAAGCAGAGGTGAACAATTACCTCCTCAATTTCCTCAGATTCCCTAGAGAGGGCCCTCAGCACGCCCAGCTTCCTTTGGAAACTGATTTACTTCACATTCTGCAAGTTCTGGTAAAAGAAGGAGCCCTTGCACCACTATTACTAAGAGATGACACAAAAAAACAAGCACTGTAAAAGCATCCATTACAAGCTCTGCTCCCACCAGATAAAGCCAACAAAAAAACCTCACTCTCATCAAAAACTGTTTATGAGATCAGTGCCATGCAGAAAGGAACACTTCTTTCAAACCAAGTACTTCCTCTGGGGATGCTTTTCAAGGACAGATGAAGCAGAATTGAGTACACATTTATCTCCTCAAATCTCATGGAGCAGACGGATGGTGACAGAGGAGACTGCAGAATCATCATAGAATCACTGAGGTTGGAAAAGACCTCTAAGATCATCTAATCCACTCACGCAATCCACCCCACTGTGCCCACTGACTACATCCTTCATTGCCACATCTACCCTCTTCTGGAACACCTGCAGGGACTGTGACCCTACCACCTCCCTGGGGAGCTGTGCCACTGCATCACTGCTCTGAGAAGAAATGTTTCCTAATATCCAACCTGAACTTCTCCTGGCACAACTTGAGGCGATCACCTCTTGTCATATAGCAGTTACAGAGGAGAAGTCGTCAATTCCCACCTCATTACATCTTCTCAGATCTAGAGAAGCATGAGATCTCTCTTGAGCCTCCTCCTCAGCTGCTCTCCATAACACTTGTGCTCCACACCCCTCACAGTTTCACTGCCATTCTCTCTACATGCTTCAGGGCCTCAATGTCTTTCTTGTAATGAGGAGCCCAAAACTGAACACAGCACTCAAGGTGCAGCCTCACCTGTCTCACATAGGATGAGAAGGGTTAAGGTACTGAGAGTCAGTCTGTCGGGATTCACCCACAGAGGAGGGAGTGAGAAGGACCAAAGAATTAGAGAGCATATAAACAGGAAGGGGAACAGCTGTTTACATGGGTGGATAGTGATAGGACAAGGGGGAATGGTTTTAAACTGAGACAGGGGAGGTTTAGGTTGGATATTAGGAGGAAGTTTTTCACTCAGAGGGTGGTGAGGCACTGGAACAGGTTGCCCAAGGAGGTTGTGGATGCCCCATCCCTGGAGGCATTCAAGGCCAGGCTGGATGTGGCTCTGGGCAGCGTGATCTGGTGGTCGGTGACCCTGCACATAGCAGGGGGTTGGAACTAGATGAGCATTGTGATCCTTTTCAACACAGGCCATTCTATGAATTCTATACAACATTAGAAGCATTAGATTGAAATCCCTCCCTGGGAATTACCTATGCATCTGCCATTCACACTCAGATAATGCTTCTCAGGGTTATTTTTCACCTCTTTCCTGGGATTAGCTCCCAGAACGTTACTGCTACGCTTATAGAAAGCTCTGACCCATAATTGAAGCAACGTGAATCCACGGGGAAATCAGACGACCTCATCCGCATAGCGCATAAGGCTGCAGCTGCCAGGGAACCCTCCGCAGGGCCATGCCACAGAATCACAGAATGGTTTGGGTTGGAAGGGACCTCAAGGATCACGAAGCTCCAACCCCCTGCCGCATGCAGGGCCACCAACCTCCACATTTCATACCAGCCCAGGCTGCCCAGGGCCCCATGCAACCTGGCCTTGAACACCTCCAGGGACGGGGCACCCAGGACCTGGCTCCAGGCTCTAAGCACCACTTCAGTCCCACAGGGGCCGCAGCCAACCCTCGGCCGCAGCCCGGCTCCGGGCCCACGGACCCCACTTTGTCTCAGGGCCAGCCGGGCCCAGACCAAAGCTTCCCGCCCCACGTTCCCGCACCGACCCTCGGGTCCCCTCCGCTCCCGGCCCGCACTCACTGCGCCGCCGGCAGAGCCCCAGGCCGTGCCGGGCGAGACGCGGACTCCGCAGCACAGCGCGACCCGCCGCCCGCAGCGCCTCCATGGCTGCGCCGAGGCTGAGAGCTGCCGGAAGTGGGACGGGGCTGGACCGGAAGTGGAGATGCCGAAACCGGAAGGAGGCGGGGCGTTGTGCATCATCGAGGCGCGGTCTTATGACGTCATCAGTGGTGCCGGCTCAGCGGTTGCTAGGCAACGGATGTAGGTTGTAGCGGAGTACGGCGACGGTGTGATCTGGTGCTGTTATCGCTCTCCGTCCCTCATCATGCAGCTGCGGCACGTGCGGACCCTGCTGGCCCCGCAGGTCGAGTCGGGTCGTTTCGGGTCGGGGGGAACCGGGGAGAATCCGGGCTGTGTTGGCGCTGAAACTGTGTGCGTGTCCCGCAGGACGGCACCGCGCGTGTGACCTGCATGGCCTGGTCGGCCAACAGCGGCCGCTTCGCCGTGTGCACCGCGGAGCGTGTGGTGCTGCTGTACGACGAGCACGGTGAGCGGCGTGACAAGTTCTCCACCAAGCCTGCCGATGCCAAGGTGAGGGTACCGAGCCCGGGCTGTTGTTGCCCGTGGCTGTGGGCTGTGTGGATGGGACGTGGTGGCCTTCCTCTATGGCTCAGTCTGCCCTCTGCCCACAGTACGGCAGGAAGAGCTACGTGGTGAAAGGCATGGCGTTCTCCCCGGACTCCACCAAAATCGCTATTGGCCAAACAGACAACATTGTCTACGTCTACAGGATCGGAGAGGAGTGGTGAGTCTGGTGGCAGTGCCCAGTGTTGCACTCACAGGAAGGACTTAGGGATCCTGATGTGAGAAGGCCTGGTCTGAGAAGGTCAGTGGTGTCCTGGTTGACCAGTAGTTGACTACAAGTTGGCCATGAGCCGGCGGTGTGCTCCTGTGGCCAAGAAGGCCAGTGGGCCAATGGTACCTTGAGGTGTGCTGCAGAGAGCATGGCCAGCAGGGTGAGGGAGGTGATCTTCTCCCTTTGCTCTGCCCTGGTGAGTCCACATCTGGAGCATTGTGTCCAGTTCTGGGCTCCCCATTTCAAAAAAGACAGGGATCTCCTAGAGGGAGTCCAGTGGAGGGCCACAAAGATAGTCAGATCCTGGAGCATTTCCTGTACGAGGAAAAGCTGGTAGCCCTGGGACTCTTCAGCCTGGAGAAGACAGAGGAGATCTCATCATTGTTTATAAATATCTGAAGTGCCAGATTCAAGTGAATGAGGCCAGGTGTGCAGCGACTGAACAAGGGGCAACAGGCAGATGTGGGAACACAGGAAGTTCCATACAAACATGAGGAAGAACTTTACTGTGAGGGTGACAGCACTGGAACAGGCTGCCCAGAGAGGTTGTGGAGTCTCCTCTGGAAATATTCAAGATCCATCTGGATGGGTGCACCTGTTCCTGTGCAACTACTATAGGAAACTTTGTTTAAAAGAAGTTGGACTAAACAGTCTCCAGAGGTCCCTTCCAACCTCTACAATTCTGTGTGATTCAGTGTGTGAAGGGAGTGATGCTCTCCATGCAGCACACTTTCTGGGTACTGGTGTGGGTTCTCATCCAAGGCTGATCATCATTATAGAACATGATACAGATCATCTAACCTGCAGTGATTCACTCAGATCTTTCCATGGTGAGCAGCAGATAAGGTTTCATTGAACACAATGGAACCTGGTGGAAGCACGTGCCAACTTCTGTGGAGCAGTAGTTGTAAAGCTGACACTGCTGTCCCCTGTTTGATAGGTGTGGAATGGAGACAAACCTACCTCACCTCACAATTGTTTGCTGTTGTGTTTAGTGCTGGTGCTGATGAGAAAGGCACATCACCAAAGTTTTGGAAGCTCAGAGAATTGCCACATTCTCCCCTCACCTTAGTCTTGCAAAATATATAAACTTTTTTTTCCCCTGAAAATTTTCTGCCTAAAATTGGCTTTTGGTAGAACATCAGCATACAGAACTTAAACAACCTGTGTTCAGCAATATTAAAATGGGCTAAATACAAAGGGGGTAGCTGGAATAGGCAGTTTTACCAGCTTCACCAATAGTCATTTTTGTCTGCCTTTTTCTGCAGGGGTGACAAGAAGGTGATATGCAACAAGTTCATCCAAATGGTGAGACCCAGACTCCCGTTTAACTCCATTTTCTCCCACAGATGTAGGATAGAGACAACACTTGGATGTCTCTGTGCTCATACTCAGAGACATATGTGGGCTGTCAGTGATATTTGATTACTCAGAGACATGGATAGAAGCTAAGATAATCTCTACATTTTGAGATATGTCTCCAAGCTTGAGAGGTCTCATAATGCTGTGATGTGACACAGTAATTAACTGTTTATTGATCAATGCAGTCAGTTGCAAGACTTCAGGGACAACTCTTGGCATCGGTGGACAGAACGTTTTTTGTGAGTTAAAATGGAGAAACAGAAGAGAATCTGAGTCTGTTTTTCACAGATCAGCAGCTCTAAATGTTTCTGCAGCTGATCAAAGATCAGATATTTGCTGTAATCCATCCATTGCTTCCTGCAACAGAGCAATACTGGTGCCTGACTGAGACCAGAACTAGAAGAAAAACCATCCATTGATTCCCAACCAGATACCATTGCTTACTCATACCTCCTTCAGTCCTTGAAGCTCAGTGCATGGGCCCTTTCAGTTGGGAAAGCAATTGCACTGCCTGTAGTTGTGCCATTGACATCTATGTTATTCCTGCAGCTTTTCCCAGTAGCAATTCTTGTTCTGACACTCAAAGAAAATCAGTTATCTGAAACAACAATGAAGTGATAAAGGGCTGGAGGAGGCTGTCTGGCAGTGTAATACAAAGTGAGAAGAACAGAGGTTGGTGATTGGATAGAATCATAGAATATCCCAAGTTGGAAGGGACTGACAAGAAGCAAGTCCAACTCCTGGCTCCACACAGGATCACTCAAAAATTAAACCATATCTCTTATAGCATAGTTCAAACATTTCTTGAAGTCCAACTGGCTTGGTTCTGTGACCACTTCCCTCAGAAACCTGTTCCAGAAATGCAGTGCTAGTGCTCCAGGGTAAACATCTGATCTCCCTTTGTTCAGTATCCTGAATGACTGGATCTGTGTCCTGAACAATGCTGTTCCACTCAAATTCACCTGGATATCTTATATATCTTCATAAAGCCAAGAAGATCATTCACAGTTTCATGTTATCCTCTGCCTTTTGCCTGCTTTTCCACATAGACTAATTGCATGGCAGTCGCTGCATTCCACTTCTGCAAAAACTCTTTATGGGCATCTTCTCTCTGTTTCTGATGGCATTTCCCCTAATCCCTCCAACTACAAGACCCATATAACCTCTCTTGAAAAGTATGGAAATCTAAGAAAGTTTACTGCCTCATAGAAGACCAAACAAGACAGTGGATCTGCCTGGGCAGTTGGTTGTTCCCCAGCCACCATTCCCATTCTGCAGCCAGTAGCAGAGGGTAGCCAAGTTTTGCACTGTCAGAGGATTGCAGATGGAATGCTGATAGCCTATGCATGGAGTTTTGAGCTCTTGGGCTCAACACTCACCCACTTTAACTTGCAGTTCTGCAGGCAGCAGTATGTTCCTACACTGACATGTTAAAAAGCCTGCTAGCTGTGACCTGGTTACCTTATAGCGTGTCAGACTCAGGCTGGATTTACATTAGCAGCCAAATGTGCTTTGCTTTTTCTATATGGTTCATAATTTTAGGGTGCATCATTACCCCAAGATTCCCCATTAACCAAAATGTTAAGCGTGCAGAATTCAGTTAAAATGCAATTTCCACGTGTCCACGTGTACTTAGGTTTGTAATTTCAGTCAGGCCATGTCCTTGGCCTTTTTAGTGTTCTGCTTCTTAGTTCTACCTGCATGTGTCAGAGAGCACTCTTCCCAAACTTACTGACTGAAATTTTTCAGTTTAAATGTGAAGCAGTTAAACTCTCTTTGGCCCTCTCTTACAATTAGGTTTCACGGTCAGATTTATTCACCTGATCCCCACACCTCAGATTTTGAGAACTCCTTTGATTTGGATTTAGTGACCTGTTTCTGCCTGGCCTACTTGGTAGCATTTCATAACTATCTTGCTTGTAAATGAAAAAATACATAAAAACTATTTGATGCTCAGCTTTAGCTTTTCTTAGCCCCTTACTGTACCCTAGCTCACTGTTACCTAGTTCAGACATCAGTATGGAGTGTCTTAATCCCACATTAAGGTCCATTCCAATACCCATTTTCTTCTCTTTCTTGGTCTGAATGGTCTTACTTTTCGTGAGCTACCTTATGTAGCAGTGGGATGAGAAGCTTTCTGAGTAGGGTGGAACTTTTACTTCTTTTTCTTCCTCTTTGACAGAGTGCTGTGACCTGCTTATTGTGGCCAGCGGAGAATACCATTGTCTTTGGTCTTGCTGAAGGAAAGGTAGAGAAACTTGTTACTTACCTGATTTTCTTTTCCATGCAAGATCTATGAAAGCCTGCAAGCACCTTCAGAGTAGAAAACATCACTGTGTGGGCTTAGGACACTGATCAGCAACAACACCACTGGCTTAAATTTCCTGGTTTTGGTTCCCAGTTAGTCATAGAATGGCCTGGGTTGAAAAGGACCACAATGATCATTTGGTTTCAACCCCCCTGCTATGTGCAGGGTCACCAACCAGCAGACCAGGCTGCCCAGAGCCACATCCAGCCTGGCCTTGAATGCTTCCAGGGATGGGGCATCCACAACCTCCTTGAGCAACCTGTTCCAGTGTGTCACCATCCTCTGAGTGAAAAGTCCTTGGAGGTTCTTTTGGATCCTTGGGTCCTTTTCCTGAGCTGTCCTAGAAATGTGGAAGTGTGACTGCAGTGCTAACATTTCTGCTTGTTCTCTAACGTACCAGAAACAAATTATTTCTTGTGCTTATAAACTGGAAATCCTTTGGGGATATTGCAGTGCAGGAAGTCCATGGTTCTGTATGGGGCCAGAAGCAACACTGACCCTTCTCTTTTCAGGTTCGTTTAGCAAATACAAAGAACAACAAGTCTTCCACCATTTATGGGACAGATTCCTATGTGGTCTCACTAGCTTCCAAGTGAGTATGGAATTGCTTTAGCTACACTG